ACTAGAACACAGCCACGCCCGTGTCCGTGACTAGAACACAGCCACGCCCGTGTCCGTGACTAGAACACAGCCACGCCCGTGTCCGTGCTGTCTGTGGCTGCTCTTGCGCTTGCAGCCGCAGAGTTGAGTAGTTGAGGCAAAGAAAAATATTGCTCTGCATTGAACCCTTTCACAAAGAGTTCCCCACTTTCGCCATTTGGCAAAACGCACCCCATGCCTCATCTGTCCTCCTGGGCCCCTCCTGCTCTCCAACTCAGAGGGCGTCTATTACTTTGTGAAATAATAGTTTTCACTAAATTCATTTTGACCTGAAGTCCAGGGTTGAAATTTCAACGTTAGCACACATGTGGCTTGGCAGCCCGGGCTGGACTCTCATATTAAATTCTCCACCAGAGCGATTCTTTGATTATCTGCCCCCAGGCTGATAGTCAAGCAAACGAAACTCTATATTACAGCTCCGAAACTCTATATTACAGCTCCGTACATTTTGTGTGACCCGTGGCAGCTGTACACTCGAAGACTGGTGGGACTTGCATGAAAGCCCGCCAATTTAGACCCATTCCTTGTGATGCGCAATTCTTCCACCGCAGGTGCTGGCGCGGCCCGGGGTTGTCCGCTGCGGATTTCTGCTGAAGTCAGGCGAACTATGCAAACGACCCACTGGAAACAGCGCCTCGGCTCCGCGGCGGCCGGCTCTACAAAGCCTGCCTTGTCTGTTCTCATGACAAATCCGGTCCTTCGGGATGGGTTTCTGGAAGTTAATTGGCTGCGGAGAAGGATGGCGTGCCCTCAGACAGGAGCCGCGGGATGGAGCCCTCCACCCCTGCCCGGGGCCCGCTCGCCCCGCGCGCCGCCTGTCAGAAGCAGTGTGGCCGGCGTGACAGCTAAGGTTTGGACGGCTGTGTGACTGCTCCTAGGGGCAGAGCTTGGCTGCTGCCAGCTGGTGTCAGAGAGAATGTCGGGGCAGGCCCTGGTCACGCCCTGGTGTCCCCTCTGTCACCCCCTGGCAGGGCCTGCTCACCTGGCACCACGCCCAAGGCAGGAGGTTTCATACCTGTCCCCAGTGCCCCCAGGGAACTGCTGGATCGTTTTCCCCAGTAGTTACTGCGCCGCCCATGCTGGCTTCCCCCCGGTGCTCCAGGAGGACGGCGCTGGTGCCAGCGTCTCCCTGATGCCAAAAGCACAGGGTGTGAAGGTTCCCGGCAGCAACTGGCTGACTTGGCTCCTTTCAGAGCGAGGATAGAGAACTCCAGGAGCGATGACCAGGTCCGGTTACCCAACAAGCCCAGCTCCGGCCGATGTGTCAGGAAGCCGTGTCCTGTGTCTGCTGCTGGCCTCCCTCAGGCGGGAATTGGAGGAGGTGGAGAAAATGAAGCCCCCACCTGGGCTTGGCACAGCTTTGAGCAGAGGGCCACCTACTCAAGGGAAGGCTGTCTGTAAAACTTCCAGAGTGTTTGAATGAAGGTGGAGGTGGGCCCATTTAAATAAAAAGTTCAGGAAGTAGTGGGAGACTGAAATGAGGAAAAAAGTCAAAATTCATGACCCAGGCCCCACATGATCCAGCTTCTGCCTTTCTCTCTACCTGATTTCATGCCACTTTCCCTCACTCTCCACCTTGTCTCACGTTGGTCTTTCTTCAGCTGCCCAAACATGTACAGCCTTACAGCCTCACAGCCTCAGGGCCTTTGCACATGCTGTCCCCTCTGCCTGGAATGCTTCATGCTCCCCTTCTCTACCCTCTGCTCTCTCCCAGTCGTTACCTCCACCTTGCTCTGCCTGCAGCCCAACCCTTCTCTTCTCTTAGGCCCTGGGGGAGAGCTCCCCTTCCCCCACTGCCCCCTATAGTCTCCCTCAGTTGTTCTGTCTCAGTCCTATTTTTGACTCCTTCTTAGCGCCTGATACAACTTGCAGTTGTCTCACTTATTGTTTGACTTATTCATTTTTGTCTCTATCTCCCACAACCAGATCATCATTTCCTCCAGGACAGGTCCTGTGTCTGACTTATTTCCCATGGTACACTCAGCACCTGGGACAGAGCCTGGACATAGCACGTGCTCACTAAGTGTTCGCTGAATAAATGAATGAGTGAATCAGCATCACTGAGTTAAATTTTACTTCTCATTCTCAGTTCCCTTTATTGACTGGCTAAGTGACATTCTCAGGGTTTTGTTGTTCAATCTGTGCATTTTTCAAGGCCTTTCGTTTCTTCTCCTCCTTGTTCTCAGTCTTTTGGTCATTTTGATGCTCATTAACAAGCCTCAACACAGAGTGGGCAGAAGGACTCATTTGCTTCTCTTTAACTGATCCCACACAAGCCTTGTTCAGACCAGAGTTCTAATTATTGGCTAAACTATCATTTTGGGATTATTTATCATTTTAATTATCCATGAGATTTCTGTTCACTCAGAGCAGGCACTTGCATTAGTCAGAATAGGCCAACTGCTGTAACAAATAACCCCCAAATCTCAGAGGCTTAAAGGAATGCAGTAAAAGTGTGTTTTGCACTCATGCAAAGACCAATATGAATGTTCTGGATCATGCAGTTCTCTTCCAAGGAGTGACTCAAGGATCCTTCCATCACGTGACACTGCCATCCTCAACACCTGGCAGCCCAGCTGACCAGGTGGGAAGACACCTGGACATCTCACCCTCTCGGCCAACAGTGACGCACACAGCTTATCCCTAGCTCCATTAGCCAGTCACATGGCCCCACAGTGACAAAGGGACTGGGCATGGGGCACGAGTGACAGAAGCCTGGTGGGCAGCCTCTTCCAGTAGGAGTTCTCACAAGGGGAGCATGAGTGTCCCTGCCACAGCAGTAGGTCGCAGCCCGTAGGAAAGAATGCCCCCATAATTCTTGACATCCCCCCACTGCTCATGCCCTCTTGGAAGAACCAAGTGCATTACAAACTCCAGGGCCCCAGCCCCCTAGCTGCGAGTCTGCTGGAGTTGGTGACGTGGCAGTCCTGTCTAAGGACTAGCAGGACTTCTCAGGTGCCTTCCATTTCCCCTGTGTGCTGCCTCCTCCCCCTGGCCTCTCTCTCTAAGGCCCTGGCAGGCAGCAGTGCCCTGATGTGGCCCCGCTGGCTGCCCCATCCCTCGCTCAGTATCCTGTCGGGCTATCAGCCCCCAGAGAGCTCCCTTAAGTAGATGATCCTTTTCTCTCTCTCTCCTCTAGTCAAATTCCCCCTTTTTCAACTTGGCTTCTAACTGGGTACTGGGAAGAGAGCAGTTCCCTGATTTACCCTCAATAGGTCATGAAGGACTGACAATACAACCCACCAGGACACACTGGCCTTTAAAGCAGAAGGTTGGTGGATGAAGGACTGACAATACAACCCACCGGGACACACTGGCCTTTAAAGCAGAAGGTTGGTGGCAGACACAGATTTGTGCAGACAGAGTTGCAGGCAGTGGGACACACAGAAGGGAAGGATTTCTGGCCGCCAGTGGTAAGGGTCATGCGTGTTGGTGAGGTCTTCCCGGTGCCCCTTAAATTGCACCAGGCAATCGCCCTCTGCTTTAAAATGCAATTGTATTACTGCTCAGGTGTGGTGAGGCCAGCAGCTCAGCAGACAGCTGCCATTGTAAAGAAGGTCTGTGACTCACAGGTCCCAAGAGGAGGGGGCACGCAGGGCCACCAGGGAGCACCAGGTCGGTCAGGAGGCAGAGAGAGAGAGGCGGGAACAGGAGGCCAGAGCCTTTATTGTGGTTTTTCCCCAGGAAGGACTGGACAAAGCTGGGTATGCGGGTTAGGATGGGCTAGTCTGAATCATTTCAGCGGGCTCTGGGGCATAGAGCTGTCTCTAGCTGTCTGGTACCCGGCCCCAGGGTGCATCAGAGCCCAACAGAGGAGGCGATTGGGATGTGGGCTCCAGATCGGTGCATCTGTATTTGAAAAGCCTGCTCCAGGGCAAGTTGTTGACTACCTCTAGGAATTGGTTAACCTGGGAGGGGCAGTCCCTCCAGGGTCCGCAAGGCCCCACAGGGCAAAGCATCAGAAAATACAAAAAATAAAAGACATGATTAATCCGCTTTCTCCAACTAATCAAGCTAGTTGGTGCAGTTCAACAGATGACAGTCCCATCTAGTGGCAAAAGGCACATTTGGAGATAACGACTTGCCTTCCGATGGATCGTTTGTACTGACCCCCTCTCCCTCACCCCCACATCCAGCCCACCAGCGAGTCCAATGGGCTACACCCCCAAACACCCCAGCCCTGCTTCACGTCCCTACCAACCCCCCCAGGCAAGCCCCCACAGTGCCTCGCCTGAATTACTGCAAAGAGCCTCTAACGGATGCCCACCGGACTCCATCCCGCCATAATCTGCTCTCCACCAAACAGCCAGACAGCGTATTTTGCTATTGTTTTGTTTTGTCTGTTTGCAGTTTAAAAGGTTCTTTTTCCATTTTGTTTCCTTTGCAGTTTAAAGGGTTCTTCCGTAAACTTTTATTGCTGCAATTTTCAAGCATACACAACACAAAAGAGAATATAATATCCCCCGCCCCCTGCCACCTAGCTGATCAGCTCATGGCCAGTCTTGTTTTAACTCTACCCTGACCCCCTTCTCCCCTCTCCCCACACTATTGTGCAGCAAATCCTTGACAACAGACGATCTTTGTAAACAAATCAGATCAAGTCACTTCCTAGCTTAAAAACCTCCCACAGCCTCCCAAGGTGTTTACAATAAAACCATATACCTCACTGTGGCACCCAGAGCCCTGCTCACCACTGAGGGCATTTCCTCACTCTGCTCCAGCCACCACAGCCTTCTGTCCCTTGGACTCACTGAGCATGTCCCTGCCTCAGTGCCTTTGCACCTGCTCTCCTGCTACCCAGACTGTTTACTGCCCTACATTTACATAGTTGGCTCTGCCTTGGCATACACATCTCAACTTAGATGCCGCCCCCTCTGAAAGGCCTTCCCAGTGAGTCCATCCCTGGCTGCCCTCCCCACTTCTCAGCAGCCACTCTCCACCACAACACTCTGAAATTAGTGCACTTGTTTAAAAAATTTCCTCGTTCTAAAATCACAGCTCCATGGCTGGACTAATGCTTGGCATATAATAAGCATGCACTTACTATTTGTTGAGTGAAAACAAAGAAGAATAAAAATAAAAAGTATTCACTGTAGGGCAGCTTTTAAAAATTAATTTTCCTGGTACATTTATAATTAACTGATTTAATTAAATATCATTTATTAGGAAAGATAAATTTATACAAATTTATTTTGGGAGCAAAAAAACCTTCTTCTGGTGCAAAGCCATCTATATCTGTGAAAGATCCTAGTGACCTGAGTTGTGACGCTGCAGACAGGGACGGGAAGTCAGGCAGGACACGACTATTTTCAGTCCTTAGAAGTCGCTCCTGCTTCAGTTACAGGGAGAACCGAGGCACCTGTGGCTCATAAAGTTCAATCGAATGACAAGACTACACTCTCCAGCTCTTAATGCCATGACACGCCGGGAAAAAAGCCTCTACGGAGACTAGATTAATGAATTCTGAAATGAGAAGTAAAAGATAAATATTTAGGTTTTAAAAAAAAAGCCTCCACTGAAGAGCTTTGAGTTTGTGGAGATCTGATGGAACTCGGATTGTAAAGTGAAATTACGTTGTTCTTTCAATTATTCTGTATAATATTTTGAAACAAATGACCACGTAATTTTTAAAATTGGTGAAAATCCATCCCATAAAATATTCCTTTCTCCCCAGCCCCGCACCACCACACTCTACCGTCTACACAGCCCGCCCTCTCCCACCTCTTTCCATCTAACCTCCGGGTCTTGAGAGCTGAGGTTCCCTGTTCTCGCTGCCTGCAGGAATATTTTTGTGGAACTGACGTTCAGTATTCCTGAATGTGAGTGCATATTGCTTGACGGGAAAAACGTGTAGTGGGTAAGTTTCGTACTGATTACTCTTCTACTAATCAGAGGCTTTAAACTCCCTCGCAGGGCATCCTTCCACAAAGCAGGCAGACGGCATAATCGTCCCGTTGTGCCGCCCACCGGCGCGGACGTGAGGCCGGCGGTACCCACGCGGGAGCGGCCTCCCCTGCTCCTCACGCTCCCGCTTCCTTGCAGACGGCTCGGCGGGGTGAGGCGTGCCCTCGGCCTTCTCCCACACGTCCCGCCTCCGAAAACAGCAGCCTCGTTGATTCCGGCGCTGGCAGGAATGTGCAGGGGCTGGGCAGCCTGCGAGCGCGCACACCTTGGAAGATACAGAGCAGGAGGCAGCCGGGAGAGCTGAGGGGCCCTCACCCTGCCAGCAATCCTCGGACAGGCTCTCTCCCGCTGCCTTCAGGCTAAGCCAGACTCAGGCCTCCCACTCCAAGGCCTTATGTGGGGTGGCTGGGCTGGCCTGGGGAGTTTGGGGCAGTGTCTTTAAAGAAGCCACTTTGAGTTCTGTGGGTGGCATAGGTCCAAAGACTTCGTACATATTCAATATTGAGTATTTTTCTGTGTGCCAGCAAAAACCCCTTACATACTAGTTCAATGAAACCTCACACATCTCTATGCAGTAGGATTAATATCATTTTACACTCAGTTGAGGAAATTGAGTCATAGAAACCTACTGAGATCACACAACTGGTAAGAGGGGGAGCTGGGAATGTACCCAAAGCCATTTGAGACCAACGTCCAAGTTCTTGACTGCTAGCAAGCATAGAGCCAGCACAGACAGAGACAAAAAACACAGACCCACACTGCCTGGGCTCTAATCTCAGCTCTGCTGCTTTTTAGCTGTGTGGCTTTAGCAGGTTGCTAAACCTCTCTGTGCATCAGTTGCTTTGAGTGTAAAATGAGAATAATGATAGGACCTATCACATGGGTTGTATGTGCATTAAATCGGTTATGGTATATGAGTGCTTAAACTGGGCCTGGTATACAATCAGTGCATGTGTCTGCTGTTGTAAGTCGTGCAATACCACTTCCCATTCTGGCATAATCCTGCTTTGCTGGCTCCTTTCTCCACCTGTTGATGGAGGACATCTAACCCCCCACAAACCCATGCCAATTATTTCGGGAAGAGGGACTTTCTGAAGGAGGTCCTGTAGGGTGCCCCTTCCTAGCTGCCATCTCTTTCTCTCCAGCTGGACGTTGTTCAGTGACGTCCACTTTCAAGGTTGCTGCCTTCAAAGGGGCCTGAAGTCTTGCCGCCAGGGCCCGGTGGGCACTGTGGTCTCCCCAGATAATGTGGTGTCCACACCTACCCCTGCCAAGTGGGCGATGGGGCCCCGGCACTCCAAGCCCAAGCTGGCTCTGTCCTCTGAGCCCTCATTGTGCCAGAGCATATGGGGCCAAGCCGGGCAGCCTGCCTACAGGGCCTGCAGAGCACTTAAGGGAATTGGCTTCCAATCTTTTCTCACAGAATCCATGAGCTCATGGGAGGCTGGGCTGAGGGTCAGATCTGAGGCAGAAATTAGAATTCAGCTTCCTCTCCAAATGCCTAAAGCTCTTTTATTATCCCTCCACCCTGTCTCCCCAGCCCCCACCCCTCCAGCCCTCACCCCTCCCCACCTCCCTTAAGTCAGGGCTTCTCAGCCTGACTCAAAAGGCCCCTGTGATGGCCTGGGAGGTCTGCACGCTGTGAACTGAGTGTGTGTGTGCATTTCCTGAGAAGATTTCCACAGTTATTGTCAGGTTTTCCAAAGGGGCTCATGATCCCCAAAATGTCAAGGATGCTGGCTTCCAAAGGATAAGTCAATCTGTTAGGTAGCGTTCTCCAGGAAAGACCCTGAGATGGAGTCTCAGGCATAAGGAGGGTCTGTAGCCAAGAAACTCCTGTGGGGGGACCGGGGGAGAAGCAGAATTAGGGAGCAGTCAGGCAGCAGGGAGACCTAGCCAGGAGCCGCCCACCAGGGATCTGGAGCCCAGGCTGCCCAGCAGAGGAGTCCTGTGTTGGGCAGAAGTGCTGGGCCTTTGGACCACAGCCTTGCTCTGATGTTGGCCTGGGTGTCCTAAGAAGAGTAGGGCTGGGCTTGAAAGCTGAGGCATATCCTGAAGGAGCCAACAGCTGGAGGCTGTCAGCCAGCCATGCTCCTTGTAACTGGGCCTCAAGTCCTTTCTGGAAGGGGATCTGGACATTGCATCTCTGTGCCTGCTACGTGCCCTGGGCAGCCACCACACGCAGCTCCTGGGTGGTCCACCCCACAGTCCATCAGACTTGCTCAGGCAGATCCGAATCCTACAAGTGGCCGGGCCTAACCTAAGCCAGGGCCCCTCACCCCTGACTTAGGAAATCCAGGTCCCAGGGTCCTGGGCCCTGAACTTAACCTGGGGAAGAAAACTAGGGGGATGCTGGGCGGGAGAAGGAAGTTCTAGACAAGGGAAGTCTTCATCTTATGAATAGATTGTATACAACTTGGCTGTTTAGAATTTGGAATAAGTTTTCTCATGGAAATCCTACTATAAATGGTTTCTGGGCTTTTTTGCAGAAATCTGTTGAATTCATAATGATGTTGAAATAAAAGGAAGGGTCACCCTGAGGTCCAAGGCTGGGAAGACCCCCAGATTGAGCTCCTCTGAGCTGCCCAGGGAACCCTGCAGCAGCGAGCACAGGGACAACTCTGCCAGCATCAGAGGACAGAAGCAGTCTGGGGGAAGCCAGGCTGGCAGGGGCGACCCAGGACTTCCGTGGCGAAGGCAGAGAGGCTTAGCAGTGGAGAGACACAGCACAGGGATGCAGAGGGAAGAGGGGTCTGCAGCCAGAGAGGCCTCTGCGGCAAAGGCACGCTGCTCTGGGCAGGGAGGGTTACGCCGCCTCTTTATTAACCGAGTTTCTCGCCCACCATCAGCCCAGGCTCCTTCGTGACCCCCTCACGGAAAGGTTCAGGCAAGCTGGAAGGAGTGAACGCGAGATCCAGCAAGCTCTTGGTTAACCCCTAGAATGCCGGTGCCTCTCATCCCAGGGCGCCAGGAGCATCAGGAGCGCGCCGGTAGGGGGACGTTCTGAAAGCGGCCGCTAGATGGCGCGTCCGCCCTTCCCTACTTCAGGAGCACCGGGGAGAGGGCCTAGGGTAATGAAACTGGGCTTCTAATTGCAGTTTAATGAGACGGCTGCTCCCAAAGTGCCCGCCTCGTAGGGAAAGCTCCAGGCGTCTATTAAAGGGAATGGCTTATTTATCCTCCAACATGAAGAAGCTTCCACACAGCATCAATTAAACACATATAACCAGAGTGGGAAAACATCTAAAGGACAGAATATAGAGTTGTTACCATTTAAAAATATCAAACGGCCCATTCTGGTCTCCGTGGTGTGTGGACTAGTCCTGGGAGGGTCTCAAGTCTGCCTGGATCCCGCGGAGTCCCTCCCCCTCCCCTGACAGGGTGACGGTTGGGGGCTGGCGTAGGTATGGTGCCCAGGTACTCCAGACACCTCAGAGAATCTTGCTTCCTACTAATTTTTCTTATTAGTGCCACACGGGCACTCATACTTGTCACAATGTGCGTTACAATGTGGGGGTTGAAAATATGGTCGCTGGTGATATGTTTCTATACTGTCTACTTGATCTGTAGGGCAGATTCTGGAAGGTGCCATTGTCTGGAGCAAAGTAGATCCAAATTGAATAAGTATGTGCCCAGCTGTGGAGTATTCAGGAGCAGACTATGCATCAAGAAAAAGTGAATTGGGGGCCCGCCAGTGGTGTAGTGGTGTAGTGGTCAAGTTCGTGTGCTCCTCTTCAGCCGCCCAGGGGTCACAGGTCGGGATCCAGGCATGGACCTGCGCACTGCTTATCAAGCCATGCTGTGGCGGTGTCCCATAATAAAGTAGAGGAAGATGGGCACAGATGTTAGCCCAGGGCCAATCTTCCTCAGCAAAAAGAGCAGCAAAAAAAGTGAATTGAAGTCCTAAGCAAGATCCACAGTTCTAAATTCTGAGCTGCTTGAGGCCATATCAGATATAGAATGCTATTAAGGTTGTGGCTTTGTACATTACACAGAAGGGGGAGGAAAGGCCCTCCGGAGAAATGCCTGTCTTTCCTTGATTCCAAAAATAGTGATCTCATAAGCAATTGATCTGCTTTTATGTTAAACACTCATCCGTTTCCCCTTCTCTGTGAACTCCTAGTGCCAAGCTTGTGGCCCATTGTAAGGAAGTATATAGACCTGCACAGTGCACGTTTCCTGTTTTTCCTCACCTCATTCCTGGCGCCATGTTGTATTGCCACCTTAATCTCTCTTTTTCTCTCTTGCTCCTCTTTCTAGTGTATATTAAACTTGTATTTTGTGTCTCCTTTGTAAACTGCCTTAAATCTTTTATGGAAGAGAGGAAAATGCAAAAAAAATAAAATAGACATCAGATGCATCTTTTCTGTGGCATAATTAGGTCAAAGGGCTCATGAGTATTTGTTACCTGTAATCTTTTGCAGGAAAAGAGGATTTTAAAGTTCTCTACCAGACTGTCTGAGTGGGGACATTTTCCAATACTATCTACTTACTATCACCCTTCATTACTTAACTTGATTTGGACATCTCCCAGTTGTGTCTTCTAGACTTTTCTCTTTTGTAGGTAAGACACAAAGCCTTATTTTTCTGATTTTCTAATTTCTGAAAGAATATTCTAACTTCTCCGAGATCTTAAGCAGCACGTTTAATTTTTAAAATCTTAAATTGACTAACAAATTTAAACTTTTTTCTGTCAGAAGACCTAGATACTGAAAACCAGCAGTACCATTTCACTAGCCTGGCTGATGTCTTCCAAAAATAATAAGAAACAAAGAGACAGTCATGCCGGCTTGACTCAAAAACTCAGATATCCCCAAAGGAATATACTCTTTTGGTTGCTGTTGCTATTACAAATGTTGAGACACTTTTTGAAGGCCTCAATTCCTGAATCTCAAAGATTTGCCCCAAAATCTGAACACAGTAGATGTTCAATACTATTTGTTAAATGAATTAATGAAACCAAACCAAGACGCTGGGGATGAATGAACAAATCCCCTAGGTGGGGCCTTGGCAGTTCCGTTACCTGGGTGCCCAAGAGGACTGACCAACTTTGAAAGACGTGAGGGTGTGCTAACCTAATGTCGCTGTGGTTTTCTGAAGGAGAAAGGGACTCCACAGGAAAAGGCTGCTCTGGAAAGGGCAGCCTTGAAGGAGGGAGACTTGGGGGACTAGGAATGCTTCTCCTGGGAAGCGCCTGGAATGCTGTTATTTTGTAAAATGAACCCCTCCCTTCCCTCTCGCCACACCTCCCTCCCTCCAGTGTTAGTAACCTGCCGTGTTGATGAACTCCACACCCTGATCCCCCAGCCTCTTCTTCCCGTGCCTGTTTCTGCATGTTTGTCCTGAGAGGTTTTTTATTTCCAAGGATGTTGTGTCATTGGCCAGGCCTAAAAGTTTAGAAGAACACAGAAGGTAATCAGTCTGTGGGTTTGGGCTGTGTAAACAACTGATTTCTCTAATTCAGGTCAAAAGCTGGACTTGCTAAGGACACACATTTTTACTGAAAATATCCATTTATATTAGAAAATTTCACCATTTGGTATTTTTTCAACTCAACAGATGTGCCTCGTTCTCCCTGGCTCCTGTTTCTTGTGCTTTCTCTTTGACTCCTTTCTGAGGATTCTGAGCACCCCAGCGCTGTGGGGCCCGCTTTACAAGAAGCAGACAGTGCCTGGTGAGGGGCCTCTCACAGGCTGGAAACGTTTCCTTTCCTACCCAGCCTCCCTCCCTGCCAAGGAGCTGGGAGCCTGAGGGAAATACTTTTCCTACTATGTTTACAAAGCACTAAATTTTCAAAGTCATTAGTTCCCTTCACAAAGAAAGGGCCTAATGGAGTTTCCTATTAGTCACTGAGATACTGGTTATAACCCCGAAAGATCAAGAAGCAATAAGGAGCCGGAGCTGAAGTGGCAGTGGAGGGACAGCAAAGTCATTTCTCCTTTTTTGCCGGCAGACTGCTCCCATTTTAAAGGGAAATATTTTGAATATCTTAATCACTACCTCATGCATCTCTCTGTTTTATCTTCCTTTTCGGAACCTTCAGAGATGTTGTGTAGACGCAGACCCATTCCCGCTCCGTGCGTGTTTCTCAGGGAAGGCGTTCTGTGTCCTCAGGGTCCCCTAATGGCTTCCAGGGCAGTGCTCACCGTGGGGGTTGGTGGGGGGGGGTGGCCAGGGCCTCAGTCCCCCGGGGGCAGGCACCAGAGCTGGGGTGCTCAGGTTGGTTGGTGTGCCCAGGGTGCCAGACAGAAAGGACCCTGTTTCCCACAGTACGGTGATTCTCACATTACTCCTTGGAATCCAGGCCTCCAGAGAGACCCTTTACCCTTTCTGGGCCACAGAGCTGCAGCGAGCCATCCTCCTCTGCGCACTTGCTCGTCCATCTCTTTGCAAGCCCAGGCCGCCCACTCTGGTCTCTGGGAGCAGGAGAGGACTCCATTCCTGGTTGGGACACTGCTCCCTGTGCAGAGGTGAAGGAACAGCCCTCCCCCAGGACCTCCACAGCCCTGCAAGGAGCCTGGTAAAGGCTCCTGTTGACTTCAGTGTAGATTCCAGAAGGCCCTAGAGTACCTGGAGACGCCAATGGCTGTAAGAAGTGTTGCTGTGGCCAGAGGGGGATCCAACGAAAGCAGTGTTGGCAGGGAAGGCAGCAGTTTTCAAAATACAGCCCACAGAACTCCCACATCAAAATCACCAGGAAAGCTGGTTAAAGACGCAGACTCTCCCCTCTGCTACCACCACCAGCACCACCAGCTACAAAATCAGAGTTTCTCAGGGGGCTGGGGGAACGGCAGCTCTTTGATACAGGAAGAGACCTAAAGGGTTTCTGCACCTGCCTCTGAGCTGCCCACACAGCTCTCTGGGGCTCCGTGATGGTCCGAGAAGACTTTCCTTCCAGGTGTGGAAGTACTGGGCTCCCACCGAAGGGAACACTACCTGGAGGCTACAGGAGACTTCAAGCCGGGCCCTCCTGGTGGAACGGTCAGCAGGCTGTGCCCATCACCCCGCCAGACTCTGAAATTTTGTGTACACTGGTGGTGTTTTCGCCTCGATGCTCCTGGGTAGATCCAAGAGAGAATTAGACTCCCTCCATACAGGCCTTGATGGCGTGGATTTCAGTTACCCTGGAGATGGCCTTGTCCCCAGCTGCCTGTTTGGCATTTAGGTCTGGCCCTGTCCTATTCACGTGCCTAGAGACACCCTGTCATGAGCCGTCCTCAGCGCAAGACATTTACAGAGAGGCCTGGGGATCAGGGCTGCTTTTAGCGGAAGGAATTCTCAACCCCTGTCTGTCAAATGAAGCCGGGGCATCTCAGCCACCATGGCACCTGAGGAGAGGAGCCTTTCAAAAGGAAGCTTGGGACATTCTCCCTGTGTTAGTTTTTCCTCTGTGCCTTTAGAGGCAAGGTGCCAGGAGCCAAGCCCTGTGTGGCCTTGGGTACGTTACTCACCTTCTCTGAGCCACAGGTTTTCTTATCTGTAAAGTAGAAATAATTGTAATAATAATAGAGATAATGTTCCTGCAGCATTAAGGAGATAAAAGCTTGTGCCAGGTGCCTAGCTGGTGTGAAACACGTCTGATCCTCCCCATCTTGCCTGTAGCATCCTCACCGTGCATCCGCACTGGGAACACAGGCAGGGACCTGGACACCCGGGGAAATGGTACCAGGGAGCCATTCTAATCACCTGAGTTTGACAAGCGAGCTGTCATGCCTGATATTTGTTCCTGAGCTTGAGTGGAGATAATTATTGTTCGTTTTTAAAGCAACAGGTTGCCCAGTCTGTTGATGATACCTCCCATCAAGACATGTGCTCCATCAGGCTAGGAGCGCATGATGCCAAAGCCGTCTTGCTTCTTGGATTTTCTTCTGAGTCCCGCCATGCTGGGGTCCTGAGATTTTCTTCTGAGCACGTGGTAAATATTTAAGCACACGTCTTGTGTAACTGCCACAGATCCAGACGCACTGGGAACCAGAGAGCATCACGCTGGCACCTGCCTAAGTGTGCCAGCTTCGGGAGATGATGTTGATGCCAGTGTTGGTGTTGATGCAGTATCTGTTGGCCCCCAGTGGCTGACAGGTAGCAGAACTCTGTGGTCTGTTAATTGTTGTGGAAGCAAATCCTTGAATTGGGGACAGGAACTGTAAGTGTCCCTTGGGCAGGATTTCCCTGTGAGGGGAATTGTCACATTCCTTGTGTGCAGTTAGGGCTAGGAACTTTACCTATGTTGAATTTTTCTTTTATTTATTTATTTATTTATTTTTGTGAGGAAGATTCGCCTGAGCTAACATCTGTCACCAATCCTCCCCATTTTTTGCTGAAGAAGACTGGCCCTGGGCTAACATCTGTGCCCGTCTTCCTCCACTTTACATGGGACGTCGTCACAGCATGGCTTGACAAGCGGTGCGGCGGTGCATGCCTGGGAGCCGAACCCCTGGTCGCTGCAGCGGAGCACACACACTTAACCACTACGCCACCCGGCTGGCCCCACCTATGTTGAATCTTAAACCTTACAACAGCCAGAGAAAGGACTGTTATTGTCACCAAGAAACGGAGGCTCAGAGAAGTTAAAGGACCCGCTCAGAATCTTACAGCCACTCAGTGTCAGAACTGGGGGATGAAGCCGGTGTTGGGAACTGTACCTGTGCAGAAGGGAAACAAGCCACTCTCCTTACCCCTGAAACCCCGTCAGTAACGTGCTCCGCTCCAGGAGACTGGGCGTCCTTGAGACTAGAGGAAGGCTGTGTTTACAGGGAATGCCTCCAGGTTTCACACCAGATCAATGCCAAACCACTGCCGGGTGCCTCGTGGATGCCCACTGGGCAAATGCATTTTGTCTTATCTCAAAGTAAATATTTACTAAGACTCAAGGGAGGGGAAAGATATCAAAGACAAAAGAAAATAGAACAATGAGGATTAAGGGGCTGTGCTGCCTCCAGTGAATAAGACCCAGGACACCAAATTCTGAGAGAGACAGACCACTTGTTTTCCGCCCCCACCCATTGCAGGCATTCCGCCTCTGGTCCTCACACAGACCTCAGGGCTCACCAGCCACAGCGGGCCCTTCCACCCTGTTGCCTGGGTCCCCCACATTCCCATCCAGCAGTTCCTTCTTACACCCTCGGTGCCTTGGCTCCCTAGACACCAACAAGTACAGCCCACTTGTTCCCACCTGGTTGATACTCCTTTTGTGCGGCACCGTAATTGTACGTTTGTACTTTTGTCCCCTCTCTGAACTGAGAGCTCTCCAGAGGAGGAATCTCCTTGTCCGTCTCTGCTGTCCCGGTGTGTAGCCCAGGGTTTGGGCACGAAAGGCACTTATAAATGCTAAATGGCAGACCAAGTGAATGGACAGTGGCCCGGGAATAGAAACTTTGCATTTCCAACACATGTTCTATGACAGGAAGCCTCAGATCAAGGTTTTCATTGCAAACTGAATGCAGTACTTTCCCATTCAAAGATGGTCAGTCAATATGGCTTTGTTTCCTCAGAGAGTAAATAAGTTCATAAGCCTCAAAGAGATCTCCGAAGGAATACCCGAGAACTAAATAATAATCCTGTGTGCACAAGATCGCAGGAAAATGAGAATAAGGGACCTCTAGAATTCGAAGATAATAAACAACCCTGAAAAACTATATTTTTAAATCTCCAAGCAGAGTGTTTTAATATACGTTTGGGGCAATTCACTTCACTTTTAAAGAATCACCACAACTCCTGGAAAGTGTTCATCGAGCACTTCCCAAGCTCTTGATGCCTTCGGGAAAAATACGAAGATCTTCCACTTAGGAAGTGCTTCCAACTTCTCAGCACATTTTCACAGAACTACTGCTGTAGCTCTCGGTTTCCTCATGTGGCAGCAGAATCCTGGCCCCCAACAATGCCCCCGTCCTGTTCCCTGGAATCTGTGAATAGGTGTCCTCACATGGTGAAAGGGACTTGGCAGATGTGATCAAGTTAAGGATCTTGAGAGAGGAGGTGGTCATGGTTTATCCGGGTGGACCGCATGTTATCACCAGGGTCCTTATAAGAGGGAGGCGGGAGGGTCAGGGTCAGTTGTAAGAGATGAGGCGAGGGAAGCAAATGGTTGGAGTGATGTGGCCAGGAGCCAAGGGGTGCAGGCGGCTCCAGAGGCTGAACAAAGGCAAGGGAAAGGACTCTCCGCAGAGCATCCAGAAGGAACGCAGCCCTGCTGACACCTTGACTTAGACTTTTGACATCCAGAACTGTGTGGTAATGAATTTGTGTAGGTTGGTGGTAATTTATTACAGCCGCAGCAAGGAAATTAAATGTTCATCTTTAAAAAGAGATAATAATAATGCTCACTTCATGAGTTGTGCTGTTAGATGAGAGATATATGACAAAGGCTTAGAACAGCACCAAGCACATGATAATTTTATTAATTATTATTATCATAGAATTATTATTTTATCCTTACTCATTTGGGAGACCTTATCCCATGGGGTAGGCAGGTCCACTTCATAGTCATGAAATGAACGTGCATTAAGTCCTTGCTGGACACCAGGTCCTCCAGTAATGCTGGGGACACCAGAGGAATCAAGTGGCCTCTCTGACCTCAGAGTCCTGGCAGGTAGGGGAGGCAAACATCTCAACAAGGAAGGCTGGCACGTGACAAGAGTCAGTTAGGGGTGTGCCTAGGATTGGAAGGGAGTCCAGAGGACGATCTCTGGTGGGGAGTGGGGGTGACTGGGGAGGTCCCTCTAAGGAGGCAAGCCTTGAGCTAACGACTGCAGACAGCAGAGGCCACAGGTGGACAAGGAGAGGTGTGCTGCAGCAGAGGGAGCAGGGGGAGCAGGGTGGGGGGTGGGGGTCAGGGCCAGGGGAGCCAGTGCAACAGCAGCCCTCCACCAAAGAGGATGGAGCCCCTGCCCATGGTCCCCCAGCCAGACTGGAACCCAGACCTTCCACCCCGTGCCCTTTCTGCCACTCTGGGGATACTCACAAATGATGTAGGTGCTGGCAGGCCCCAAGGACATAGGCACAGTCAGATGTGTGATGAGGACGCAGTTTAAAGCAACCATAGAAATCCCTATTTGAGAGAGTTTAAAAATAAATGGCGGGAAATCCCGCCAGAAAGATGTAAAAGAACTGGACTTGGGGAAGATTTAAAGACAGAGGGACGTGAGTGGGACCCTACAGGTGGGTAGGGTGTAGATAGTCGGGGGCGGGAGTGAAGGAGGGGCCTTCTCAGTGCAGAGGCTGGTCCTCCTGTAGGCAGGTGGCTGGGCGACTGTGGGAGCAGGAGAGCTCAGAGCCCCCTGGGTCCCAGGGGGAGGTAAGGGTGACAGGCTGGGTGCAGGAGGTCCTGTAGGGCCTTGAAAGCGACTTCCAGGTAAGACTATTCTGAGGGCATTTGGGGGGGTCTGCTGAAGGGTCTTTGAGTAATAGGATGAAACCAATATGTTAGGAATACCAATGGGTCTGCCTGTAAGAATAGGACCTACCTTTATGTCTCCAGCATGGTGCATGCTCCGCTATCATTTGTTGAACTGAATTGCGATTTGTGGGAAGGGCTGGAAAGAATGGGGAAATCTGATCTCTGATCTAAATCCTAAGTGCTCACTCGTCATTGGAGGTGGAAGCTAATGGTTGCCAACCTCACAAACACCACAACCCTAGTAACTCATAAAAGGTCGTAAAGTCATCTCAGGTGTATCTTTTCTTGTTGCCTTTAGCCTTTCCTGGTTTAAATATTTCACTAAGTGCAAATTGAAATGACACTTTTTAGCTCCTACTTTATAACTGAGTATTGACTATTTATCACTGAATATAACTGAGTTTTGATTCAGTTATAAAATAGAAGCTCAAAAGTGTTGTTTCAATGCCAGACTCTGACAGTAGGAAGTGAAGTCCTGCCTGTCTTCTGAGCCCTAGCATGGCATGGTCACACCCCAGGCCAACCCCACAGGTTGGGAGCTGCTTAAAGAAGAACTTCGCTGCCAAAACGTGCCCAAAACTGAGTACCAGAAAGAATGGTGACAATATGACATGTAGAGTGCGAAGAAACTGTTGGCAAATACAGTAGCAAGAAACGCAACTTGAACCTGGGTAAGAGGAGGAGCGCAGAGGTTCCTGTAACCAAATGATGGCGGGGCGCCTCAGGAACTGCCGGAGCAGGGGTTCAAATTCAGACAGAACCTTCCAGCCGCTCTCACCATATGCTTCTCTCTGCGTTTTGGCTTCATTCTCCCCTTTTCTCCAGGTGGTGGGGGACACGACCACCAGCAGCTTCCAAGTGGTCTTCTCCCTCTCCCAGAAAGGAACACCTCTTCCCCACCAGCTGCAGTTCTGATGAATCTCAGGGAGGGTCTGGCTCGGATGTCCTCCCTCAAGGGGACTGTGGCCAGGGAGATGGAGACACGGAAAGGGATGACAGCCCCCATTCGGACCACATGGCTGGAGTCAGGGGACAAAAACCAGTTCCATCAAAGAAAGGGGGCTGGGTAGTAAGAACATGAAGGAATCGCTTTGAGCCAGGAAGCAAACTTAGAGGTTTGCACAACAACTTGTGAAGTGAGGCCTGGGAGGCATCTGTCACTCTCGGAGGTGTCCCTGCATGGCTTTCCAGGTCCTGTCCGGCTGCCTCTGATCCCTGCTGGCCAAGAGACCCCACTTCTCCCTCCGCCTCCTTGAGTCAGTCCCAGCTCACATCCCACATCCCCTCCATGCTGGGTCTTCTGAAGTCACTGACGCTCGCAGTTAAAAACCCAACCTTCCCGGGGAGGTAGCATTGTGTCAGGCAGGCACAACAATGAAAAACAGAGAGAGGCATATAAAGACCCAACATTCTCATCAGTCAAAGAATCACTAAAACCTGAAGCTTAAAAGTGTAAGGTATGGGTGAAATCAGATTAGGTTAGATTCAGTTGTGCATCAGGAGTGAGCAGACACCTCCCCTAATAACTATGAATTTGATGTCCGTAGCAAAGGGTAAGTGACCAATCAGGTCCTTGGTCATTGCCCTGGTGAGTGTTTAAATCTTGGCCATGGACAATTCCACTTGTTGAGAAAAAGGCCTTGCCAAAGGTAGAATGTTGATTTAGTTTAGGAACAGTACAATTGTGTCTGTGCATTCTGCATTCCACTGTTGAGACAATCAGAGCCTGTCCTGCTGGTTGCAATTGTTTTAAATCCTCTGGCCCCATTGATCCCTAATTGACCTCAGATTCCTGAGCGCCAGGAGCCAGCCCTGACTTGTTTATCGCTGGTCCCGTAGCCAGCGCTGGCCTGCTGTGCACGTGTCCATCTTCTGCGATCAGCTGAGCTCAGCCTCCAAGGCCGCCCTCAGACTGTGAGTCAGCCCAGCCCACGGCCAGCAGGCCAGCCTCCTCTGGGCCTCAGCCACAACAAAAACTCCCTGTAGCTAAAATATGTATTTTCTCTTATGCGAAGCTATTTAACACAGAGGCCTTAATTTTCTGGTGATCTGGCCAATAGAAATTCTGTCAGCCCTTGATTATCAGACAGCTGGCTGTTACTGCCAGGGCAGGCTATAACCTAGAGAAATGATAAAGGTGGATCACTCACTCAGAGACAAACTCTGTCCCTCTGCCTCGGGGTGCACCCTGACCTCAGCCAGCTTGCTTTGAAAGTCTCCCCTGGGTGAGTGGGTACCTGGCTGGGCACAATTCATCCACCTCTCC